CCACAGCTTTTTAGTTTTATATTCTCAGCAAGTGACAGTGTCCTGGTACTTGGTAGGTACTGGGTAAATATTTGTTGAACTGATTTGACTCATGAAGCAAACAACTCTCACAGGGCAAAAGAAATTATATCTCATGCTTTTGTGTATCTTCATTCAACTTCTCTTCACCTCGTCCCTAAACAATAAGAATTTAACATAAAGTACTGTATTACTTTAAAATAATACACTCTCAAGAATTCAAAAGGATTTGAAAGATATGCAGATGTGAACCCTCTTGCTTGGTGGAACTAAAGGAACACAAGGGACGGCAACACTCCTCTCCTCTCCCAGGCATGTGCAAGGCGTGCTCAGTGCTCACACCAGGCCCTGGTCTGGGGAGTCAGACAGACAGGGTTCCTGCCCTAAGGAAATTACAATCTGCTGGGGACTCGGATTGCAACTTAAATTACTATACAATTATAGTGTGAAAAGCATTATGAAGGGAAATAACAGGGTTTTATAAAAACATACCACATGGCATCCTAAATCGGTAGAGCATCAGGGATGGGGATCAGCTTCTCAAATGAAGCAGTATTTAGGGCAGGACCTGAGGGATGAGTGGGGCCACATCGGGTGTGCAGATAAGGGTGGGGCTGGGGGAAAGGGACACTGCTGCAGACAGATGACACAGAGCCCCTGCAGAGGGACAGAGCTTGGTGCCTTTGAGGAACAGGGTAAGGACCATGCATGGCAAGAGAGAACTGACCAGGCACTGCCGCTGCTTGGCATGGTGAGAGACGTCAGAGCCTCGTCTCTTCCCCTCCTGTTCTGGCCAGCACGCTGGAGGAGCTGGCTCCAGAAGGAGAGGGGAAAGGTATCCTGGAAGCAAACCCAGAGGCTGGCGCCTGTGGCGAGGGGGTTGAGGAGGAGCAGNTGAAAGTTCGGGCCTTTGCATGAACACACATGAAAGAAAAGGAAGGAGAGAAGGCAGGCAAGCAGAGAGGGAGAGACAGAAAGAGAGGGAGAAAGGAGGGAGGAAAAGTTAAAACTAGGAAACCGATCTACAATTTATGCTGAGCCGTCTTTTTCAGGTCAGGACCCACAGCTTTTTAGTTTTATATTCTCAGCAAGTGACAGTGTCCTGGTACTTGGTAGGTACT